CTTATGAGTAACAATGCCAAATATCAGTTTTGTGTCCTGAGATAACGGCTTCAAAACACAGCAGCTGCCTAAAGAGGCAGGCCCTTTCAAAACTAAAAAGACTATTTGGAGAAACCAGTCCCAGTAGTCCCATAAGCACCGATCAAAACACAGCAGTGCTGGATGTTGCCAATTTGTTGCTGACAATGCTTTGTGTCGCTACCCTCATTTAGGCACTCAAGATGGAAAACACACTCCTAATACCTAGTTATATCCAGTAGCCTCCGCTCCTTGTGGCACTTCATTTTTGGTATAAATCTACTCTACATGCCATATCCTTTTGTGAGAGGCAGGGACCCGGGGCTAAATGTATATAAGTATCACTGAGATACATCCTTTAGCCTTGAATCCAAGCGAGGAAGTATTACTCCATTTTGAAGTGCAGTGAGATAAGAGCACACAGCCAAATGGCATCTCCATTAACAGCCCTGCGAAAAGCGTAATGGTGCACAGAGCACAAAGGCACTCGAGCGGCAGCGCAGCAGCCTCCTGCGCGCTTCCAGGGCCGGAGACCGGAGCTCTGCAGCGTGTTTCTGACCTGCACCATGCCTCCCAGCCCCAAACAGCCCGGGGTTCTGCTTGGGAACCCAGCAGAGGGCACTCCTAAACCAGCACCAGAAGATCTGGGCGCCTGGGGAGAATTCGCGTTGGGATCTTGTTCCAGAGGTTTGTGGCTGGAAGCCTGGCCGGTTTGCTTCCGCTCATGCAGGGGCATTCAGCGGGAGAGGAAATCCTGACACAAAATGAGCTTTCTGGGAAAAAAGCAGAGACATTCACGGGCACGTTGCTCCCCTGATGTGTGGTTGGTTTGCCAGGGGAAAAAGTGATAGTTTTCCATGTCCTCCAGCTCATGGCTGTGGCTGCAACTGCAGTATTTCCGCCCCGTTTGCTGGCAGTGCTTAAGAGCTAGGGATTGTATTTCAATATTTATTAAAAAGAAAGACTATAGGGAAGGATAAAAAAGATCTTGGTTTAATGGGAAGGAAGAAGGAGAATGAGGAATCTGCAGTCTGTGCTTTCCTTTACATTTCTGTGCAAACTGGTCACTTACTGGTTGATACTCACCTCTCTCAGCCGTCTGGCCTGATGAGCCCGTGTTGCCTTTCAACCATACTGCAGCGCAAAGGAGGTTTAAAACTCCATCAGCACTCACAGAAAGCATTCAGCAGTGCTTCTTAGTCACCTCTGCCTGGACTGCCCTGTTGCTCATCAGTAACTTATGCCCCTAAATAATTAGAACTACCATGGAGATTTAGTTCTGGCTTTCCCATTTCAGAGCTTTCGTCTGCTTTCAACATGGCATTGTATTTACTGAATACTCTGTCCCTGGACCTTCCACCTTTCCAGGAAAGTTACTTTAGCATTTTGCCAAACATGCTGGGGTAAGGCAGAGGCTGGACAGAGAGGCAGTCAGGCATTGCACCTTCTTCCCAGCACCCATGGCTCCGAAGTGTGCCAGCTTACCATAATCTTTCTGCCTCTTGCCAATGAGTAACTGCCTCTCCATAGGCAAAGATCACAATAAAGATGTAAGAAAGATTTTGTTAAACATTTTGGGAAATAGGATGCCATTTAGAAATGAATCCCAAAGGTTCAGGGAGGGTTGGAACTGGCAGAAGGGAAAGTGGTTGGGAGACACACACTTCTGAGCCTAGCCCAAGAAACATGGGGGCCTGGCTCCCTGTGTAGGCCTGTGCTGTGGGATGGAGATGCACACACAGTCTCTATTCCACCTTGATTTTATGTCTGCAAGAAGAGATGAAAAACTTCCCCTTGCCCACAGGAAAGAAGTGACAGGTATGAAACAAACCCCAGCTGACTTTGGGGGAATAAAGGCATTAAAAATCAACCCTGCATTTGCTCCTTTGGATTCAGCTCCAGTTAAAATCACCTCTTTCTACTGATAGGTCTGCTTCTTGTTTAAGTGACAGCAATGCCTATTGTGCTGGTAGCTCAGATCATGGCTCAGCCTTGCTACACAAAGGCTTGTCCATCTACTGCTGGGTGTTTATGTTCTCAAGTTTTGAATTCTTGCAGGTGACTCAAGGAAATAAATCTGATTTAGGGACTTTTAAGAAAAATTATTACTTGTAAGAGACACAGACGGATTGCAAACAAAGGGCTGGTTTCTGCTCCTGGTGAAGGCATGAAGTTGAGGCAGCAGAGTTCATTCCTGACTGCTTTAGGTTTTCAGGGACAAGGAATGAAGTAAGAGCCAGCTGTAAGGGCAGAAGCAAGCACTGACTTGCTATCAGACCCTCATGATTACCTCTGAGGGGAGAAATGCAGCTTGTAAAAAAAATTATAAGAGGATAACTGCACCTTCTTCTTCATGAAAATGAGCAAATTCCAGAGTGTTTCTTTTCCTGCCTGCTATGCCATTTGCTTCACCTTCATTTCACGTGCTGTCTCACACAATAGCCTCCAGGGATTCTCAGGGAAAAAAATTTAGCTGCCTCACCTTCTGTGCCCAACTCCTGCCTTCCTGCAAGAAAATTATCTGCTGCTTTCCTAACAAACCAGCATCAGTTCTCACTGTAGTTAAGGTTATGTCAACACTTCTATTATAAACTGCTCTTGTCAGGAATTTACAAGTCGGCTGTAAAAATTCCCTTTGCACTTAATTCTGGCATAGGCGAAAAAGCCCCAGGAGCACATTCAAGAAAATCAACATTTACGTATTGGATTTAACACTTTCCAAGAAATGAAAATTTCAATGCTAATGCAGGCACTATCATCAAACCAATGGCTCCAGTGAGTGTGTGAATCCTCTACTGGAACAAGTCACCTTGGAGTGCCCTGCACTCCAGTGTTGCAAATAAGGAAACAACACTTGAGTGCTACCATAGGAATAAGAACAGAAGTCCCCGGAAAAATCCTTATCTATTTATCCTGCAGTGATTAAAATGCAAGCCATCCTGTTTACTGAGGGATACATCCTGTCCCTCATAGCAAGAAGCTCTGTTTCATGTACAAAGGTTTTGCAGGAGCTGAGGAAAGATTACTTGTATCTATCTAAAATATTTATCTCACCTTCATCCTCATCAGAGCCCCTTGTAATCACCAGCACATTTAGCTTTTCTGGTGCATTACTGCCATTTATTTTCATTTCAGAAAGAGAACAGTGATAACGGAGAGAGGTCAAATGATTTGCCCAAGGTTGCAGAGGACAAGCCTCTACTCTGGAAAAGGCACTAACACCCATGCCTGGGATCCACCCTGGCAGGTCCTCCATCCTCTCGTGGCTTGCTAAGGAGTAACAGCAATTTATCGTCCTTAATACAGCTCTGAGCCTGCAGTTTCTTCTGTCTTCCCCAGGTTACTACTTGGCGGGATTTAATAGTTACTAGCTTCATCCTCCCCCTCTACTTCCAATCCTGCGTTTTTTTGGTTTAAGAGGAGCCTGGAAAGCTCTGAATTTGTCTCTGGGGAAGACAAGAGAGCCCAGGTATGAGCTCCCCAAATCCTTTGCGTATCAGAAATGTTGCTGCTTACAGGTTGAAACAGAGGCCAGGATTTGCTCTATACACAGAGAGGTGTGCTTTTACATTTTGTCTAGTCCCATATGGAAACTGAGGAGTACAGGGCACTAAGGTAAGCTCTGTATGTCTTGAGGGAAAAAAAAGGGGAAGGACAGACGGAGGAAAAATAAGATACAGAATTAGCAAAAGTGTTGTTGAGACAGTCTTTAGTTAATTTTCAAATGCTACAGGAAATCAACTGAAAGAAATTACAATAATTCAGGCAGACCTGGTGCAGCTTCAGTAAGACCACATTTTAAAAAGTATGATTCCAGCTCTCTAAACTCTTCCACATATTTAATGCATGCAAATATCTACAGCCATGCGTATGCCTCTGCAAAGTTATGCTCATGTTTGCAGTGTTGCAAGCCACATTTTAAACAAAGACTTAGATCTCTATCTTCTACCTTCATTTAATTGCACTAGTACATGCACAAGGAATGCTGGTGACAGCTGAGGAGGACAAGTAGTAACCCTGTGACAATCCAGGTCCAGTTTTGAGCAAAGGACAGTGTAAGTCTGCAAAGAAAAGTGCTGAATTCCGAGTAACAGAATCAGGCCCGAGAAGCGCAAAAGGAATTTACAAAGCAAGATTTTCTGTAATATGGTCCACTGGCTTTTGATAATAAAAACCACATTGTAAATGGCCAAGAAATTAATCTTTAAAAGGCAGCTGTAGCCCATGTGTATTAACTATGTATTTCAAAGACGTTTCCTCTGGATTTTTGTTACCTTCTTTAATACATGTTTCCAGCCAGCAGAGATGTTATGCTCTGTGGGCGAAATACAATATGCATTTTGAAAACATTTATAAATATGTATACACCCTATGGATTCACACGGCACTGTAGGAGCTGTGCTCTGGTCTGCCTTGAAATAAAGGCAGTCTTTAAAAAATAATTACAAATATAGTAAGGTGTACGTTGAACACAATGCATGGGGATTTAGCCACATCAATTTCATTAGCGCTAATGAGAGATGTGCAGCTAAAGCCCAGCATATCAAGACATCATGCATAAGGAGAAGCCTGTCTAATGATGTGTTTACTTATTAAACCAGAACAGCTCTGAAGGGCATGCATGTTTATCTATTTTTATTTATTCCTTTTCAAAAGAAATTAAATGCCCACATGCACGCACACACACACACAAGCATCTCTATTGTGTAGAACACAGAATGTCTACATTTTTATACATTAATATAGAAAAAATCAATTAAAATTATACTTCTTTTTTTTTTTTTTTTTTTTGCAATAGGCAAGATAAAAATATCCCTTGAGGTTGCAAACCAGAAACATGCAAATAATTTGACGATGTGGAATAGCATTTTTGTGCTAGAATAAACAGGTGTGATCATAAAGGCATCAGTGGTATGTTTTAGTAGAGCTGAGATTGTGACATGCAGCATGACTCAAAGCTGGGAAATTTTCAGCTCACCTACCTCGTTTCCTCAGCTCTCACTTTCGTCTTTATAAAACTTCCTTCCTCTTCTCACCAGTGGGGCATGTAGAGGGCACACAGTCTGAGTTAAGGGAAAGCCTTAGTTCTAGTGCATGTATGTGCGTCAGAAACTAGGTATTTTTCATCAGTTTTGTTAATTTCCAGACATGCAAGGATGCAGTTTCTGCAATTGTTTATTTTCTTCTCTAGATTACAAGTAGCTTCCTTTTCTGAATAGCTATAACATGCATTTGCTGCCAAGTTCAGGGTCCGAAGATGTTGCTCCAATGCATCATTTGAACACTTCGATGCCATCTACTAGATCATTGTGTTAGGGGCCAAGTTAGGGCCAGCAGGGTAAAGGCAATTTATAACCCACATAGTGACATCAATCTAACCTAGCAACCTCCCTAGCAACACTGCCAAAGCATCACAATGTGGCCCCTATAGCTTAGATGATATGAAGATAGTAGCATTGTTAGGGTGGGAGGTTGCCACTTTGGCCTAGCAACAAATAACAGCCTGACCTTGGGATCTATTGAAAGCTGAGAAGCCAAGCAGAACAGAGGGAGAACCACCAAATGAAACCCCATGGGTTCCTGCCTGTTTCTTTTATGTAACCTAAACAAATTCTTCGGAGAAAAATATGGCAATGCTTACAGACATGCTGCATTCATGTATATTCAGCATTGCTTTAGCTGGTTAAACTGGTACATCTTTTATGTTGTGGTTTGGAAATCATAAAACCCAGGTGCAGAAAAAAGGATGAGTACAGAAATCACTACAGCCAGCTCAGAGTGGTGATAAACACATTGCATGTTGCTGTTGAAGTGCACTGATATGTAAGGGCTCACACATCAGGACACGCCGGGTAATCCAGGAGCCCCAGACACACTGGGGTTTGGACTCACCCAAGAAATCTAGCTGTAGCCATCTTATATGCAGCATTTTGACACTGAAAATAACAAAATGGATATAAATCACATTCCCCCCTCCGTTCTCTTTCTTCTCGTTACCTCATTCAAATGAGCCCCCTATACATGCCATTGTGCCAGTTCTCCACATGCAGCTGCCGAAGCAAGGTAACATTTTTCATTCCCATATAGGCATCAACTGTAGGACATCCTCTTAAAGACATTCTGGAGCTATAAGGAGTTGCACCTGACCTGCTTGATGTTTCCAGTTTCTAACAATGATCCCATACTCCTGGTGTTTGTAACTGAATACCATTTACAGCATCTTGACAGTTGCTATGATTCAAAAGTGATTCAAAGACAATTGAAGGAAACAAATGGGAAGTACGAAAAAAGCAAGCGATGCATTTGTTTCTGTACAGGTAGCCCTGAATCAGTGGGTGGTGGTGGAGGTTACCTGATGCTGAGCTTCCAGGCACCATTCAGTCTTAAGAACATATATAACAGTATTAGCCCAGCAGTTCCTATGGAAATCACAGCCTTTGTAATCTCAAAGCTATTCTGTACAGTGACCACTTTTAAGCCCAACCAGAGGGGATAATTCACCTCCCCCTCCCCATTTGCCGGTTTAAGCTACCAGCTGGCCAGTGTGGAGAAGCTCAAATTGCAGCTGCCTTCACCCTCTTCAGCATTCAAGATAAACAGATGACTTCGGTCTGCAGCAACTACATATTGAATATATACTTTCAAAAATGTAATTTCGTTTGTTACATGAAACATATCTGCATGTGTGTGTGGTTCTGCATGTGGGTGTGTTTACACACACGTTTATGTGTGATTACATATACTGAAAAGGGGATTTTGTTAGCTTTTTAATGCCATCCATTTTGTGCCTTGTTTCCCCCTTGTCTAACACTTGGTATCACTTTCAGTTTATAACTTCTCTTGAGAGAGTAGCCACAAGCCACAAATAGTCAATTGTCTGCTTACAGCAGACTTCAACAAAGGGACTGATAGAGCTGAACTGGAAATGGCACGTCTATACTGCAGTCACTGCTACAGCAACCACAACTGCAGTTTTGGTTAACACAAAGTCAGGGGCAATTTATCTTATAAAACCTTAGCACAAGTTCCATCACAGAATATAGCATTTGTCCATTAGATCCATTTGTATTTTCAGTCAAGACCATGACAAATCCAAAGACATTGTATGAAGTGTGTGAGAGTTTGCGCCTTTGCATGTTTCTTAAATTACAAGCTTTAAATGCGTTGAAGAATAGTGAGGATTGGGAGAAACCTCTCATGTCCCAGAGCCACTTCATCCATTCCATACTTTTCCAAACTGAAACTGGCCAGATGGATTTTTTTAATCCCTTGAATTTCCCATAACAGCCCTTGTTGGAATTATGTGCATTTGAATGGTAAAGCAGAAGGGCACAGTGGTAACCCAAGCAGGATGCCTACCTCCCTGCAACACAGACCTGCTGGGATTCCCACAGATGTGAAGAAAAATGAAATTTCAGCTTCCCAAATCTTTCTCCATGTATTTCCCATTAAGCTCCTTTGTAACAGTGATAATCTTTCTCTAACCCTAATGTTGGCCACAGCTTTCTCCCCGGGGAACTGCTCCACATCAGTAAGTGAGCCCTCTCTCCCCCTTTTCCATCTCATTTCCTTCCCCCTTTGAACCATACTTCCTGAAGGAGGGAAGGGAATGGAAGTTACTCCTCCATGCAGGGCTGCCAGAGAATGGTCAATACTGGCTGCATGTCTTTCCCTTGGCACCATGTTCTGCCAATCTGTGGAACATAAGGTGCGAAACACACTTGCAAAAAAATACCCAAGCAGCAGCTCATTTCCTCCTCCCTCCTCGTCCCTCTGCACCTCTGAAACTCCAGCCTGAGCTCTCACCAGTCCCAGCCACAGTCTTCAGAAGCACCAGCTCTGACTGTCCTCTGCCCTTCCAACCCAAATCCAGCCCAGAGCAAGAGCCTGGTGTAATGAGTAACCCAGGGCAGATCCAACAGCACCCAACGCCAGGAAATCTACTTGATTTCTCTGCTTACAAACTTCAGTGTAGTTCATTGTTTCCCCAGTTCTTAAGCTGAGTAACTGGGGCAAATACCAGAGTCAGGCTCAGTTACTTAGAGGAGACAGAACACTCTTCCACAAATAGTTCAAGAACCAGGCAATACTGTTAGATGGTAGAGGTTAGGGCTGCATTGCATGGATGTCTGTATGTGTGTAAATGTAACATTTTCAATAGCCAAGCTTTTTCTTAAATGAAACCAGAGTTTAAAAATACATACACCTTCTTAAATACTTCAGATTCCTGCCCCTTCCTCTAGGGATCATGCATGACTAACATTGAAACTGGGCCATTACAACCAAAAGAAATGACTGATCCCAATGAGCAGACCCTGATCTGAGCATTGGTGAGCTGGTGAGAGATTACAGTGAACTTGGGATGTTTGGATCTGTTCCACCAGTGAAAGGGAGGATGATGGATGCAGAATCTGGGTAGATGAAGGCAGACTTCATCTATATTCAATGCAAATTTATCTGCCTCTAAATCAGGGTAAACCTCATACATGAGCACTTGGGAAAACACAGGCTCACCCGAACACATTCATTCTTGCACGGAGGGAAAAAGAAGTGGTGCTGCGTTTTGTGAGAGGAATGCAGCTATATATAAGGATCCCCAGTGCCTGCGGTTAATGCCAAGGTCAGCTCCAGCTGACACCGGTGCCCGAGGCTATGGGGGAAGGGATGGCTGTACTCTATAGCGAAGCCACAAGATGTCAGGAGACTGCTGTGCTGCTGCTGCTGCTGCTGCTGCTGTACTGGTGCTGGTGCACTGGGGCTTGACAGGCACTGGGGCTTGGGAGCAGCTTGAAAGCTCCTGCCATCGTTTTTCAGGTCACCTAGCTTCTCCCCTGTTCTATCCCATCTCCCTCCTGTGCCACTTTGTTTCTTGATGAAAAGGTGTGGGCAAGAAAATGAAGAATTCTCTCCCTTTTGATGTCTTTTCCCAAGTCCCTGTTTTACAGCTTGCTAAATCCCCTGCTGTATAGCAACATGCAGCTTTCTCTATTATACCTCACTTAATATGGTTAATTGTGTTTGTGTTCTCCACAGGGTTCTTGGCAGTTACAGCATACTACGAGGTCAGTGATTCACCTCCATGTGTTCAGAAACCTCCTCCCAGTCTCCCCACATAAAGCTGGAAACTAGTCATATGTGAGAAAACAGCAGTTTGCAAGAACACTCACGATAAAAGGGTAAACAAGATCTTACACAGAACCATAGCACTGTTCCCCCTTCCAGACTGCAGCAATCAACATCATTCACTTCTCTGCCCCACTGCAGCCATGGGCATTAGCACCCATATTTCAGAGTCACCTCTGCAGCTGAAATAATGCTCCACATTGTTCCTCACTGTCCTGAAGAAGTGAAGAACTGTGCCTGCTGTCATAAAACCCCCTGCTCCACCACTGACCCAGTGGATAGCAGCTCTGAACAGCCAAAGCTATTTCCACATTTGGGGATCCTCAGGACTCTGAGGAGTAGGCTGAACTGAAGCATGTGCTCTCTCACACATAGTCTCCAGCAGCTCAGCACCAATCTATGCCATCGTGCAACCCATCTGGTGGCTATTTATGGAAGCATTTGAGAATGTCAAAGAATTTTAATATACTTTGAATACCCTTGAAGCCAACCTGGTGGTTTCTCTGGGAACCAGCATGCTGCTGCCTGTGGTTCAGGCCTTGCTTAAGGTTAAACAGCTATCAAAGAATGCCACCAAGAGGTGTATGCTGTATACACTGGATATGATCCTTTCCACAGTGGCCATACACCCACCACTGCGCTGGATGCCTTGTGGCACCCATCTCCACTGCTCCGGATTTGAGGATCTGAACCTGACTCCTTTTTGATCACCACATTAATGAAGAATTAATTTTGACAAAACTGGACAAGTGCAGCAGTGATGGGATTGGAACAAGCTTCAGCATGCAACAATCCACCACCACACACCATCCATCTTTCCTGCCCAGAGAGACTCATGACAGATGGAGCCCCAGGTCATGGACTGAATGAACTCAACAAACATTTGCAGGGATGGTCCACCGACTACGGGAATGATCTCTGTGTGTGTGTGTACATATAC